AATATTATAATTCTATATCAATTTTTTAATTATCATTTATATACAAAAATATTTTAAAATTTTTTACATATTTATATTGAAAATTTAAAAATATTAATTCTAATAAAATAACAATTTCATCATTTAAATATAATATTTTTACAATGTATGCACAAGTTATTGAATCCTCTCAATGATTTTACTTAATGCATACCAAATTCCCAACCTGTGTGTTGAATATACAACATAGAATGTGAACAAATTCAAATTATTGTTCTCAACTTCTATGCTATTATTTTACGAATTTGCAGGAGTGAAGCGCGTTGTAAATTTATGTGCTGCCAGGAGGAAGGAGTATTTAACATAGCACTTTTACAAAGGATATATCTGGAATAAAAATTACAGAAGTTATTTACGAGTAGTGTTAGTAATTAAAAAAAAAAAGTGGTATTATTAGTAATTCACGATTAAGAGATGATAATAGGGTAAGGCCTCACCACTCAAGCTTCATACTAATTAAATCATTGTTGGATCCAATGATCCAACTCATTAAAAATTGAATCAAGTCTCGAGTCTTGCTTTTAGATTTAGATTGAGTAGCTTGAATTTGGGCTTCTTGGGGTTGGGTTTAAAACATATATTTCTAATTGATTTTGAGTTGTTTGCATAGACTTAAACTTTTAATTTATTTTAGTTATTATATTATGATCTCACGGTTGGGATGTAGTGCCTTCTTCTAGTTTGTTTCCATCGTCAAAACATTACCACCATTTTGTTCATTTTTGTTGCCATTTTTTATTGTAAATTTTTATTATTTCTAGACCCATAATACATATATAAATAAATATTTTAAAACTTTGTGCTGGTTAGAAACCACCAAACATTTTCTTAGTATTTAATCGAAAGTATTGGGTAAATTATACACTTTTTTATATTAAATAGAGGTGGAATATAAAAATAGAGGTGTATATGATGTTGTATAACCTCTTTAAATTAATGGTTATAATTTGTTTATTATATTAAAAAAAAAAATTACATTTTTTAAATAAATACTATCTATTAATATAAAAATAATTATAATAATTATTCTACATATGAGAACTTAATTTACAAGACACTTTAGAATTATCTTAGAATAATTTTGCAATCAATATAAAAAAATTAAATTTTCACATTGACTTAAAAATTGATATAAAAAATTGTCAATTTTATGTGAAGTATGCTTAAATTAATTTAAGAATCGATGTAAAAGGTTAATTTTATCATAATTTTTCATCACAAGTAATTCTAACAACTAGTTTTAACTTTATATGATCCATTCTAAGATTTTAGTAGGTGAAATGGTATTTAGCATATAGTTCACTTTAGAATTTTACTTGCAATCTTTATTTTAACCTTTGAATTTTTAAAATCGATAATAGGGGTATATACATACACACACAAAAGAAGATAGAAACGTGTACATTAACTTGAAAAGATTGCAATTTTCTTCAAAAGAGCAAATATTTCACCTACTACGTAATCAATACATGTACATCTCAATCATCCATTAAAATAATCGACAAATATGTGGTTGTAATATGCTAGTACACTAGTGGAGTGGATCATTTTGTAAATGGTCTACCTATAAATTTGGGTTATCAGTTTAGTATAGATTTGGAAAAAAAAAAAAGTTATTAATTTAAAGCACGTAATGAAGCACAAGCACAATTCCTATTTACACAATAATCGCAAAGGTGAAGTTCTACTTCATCAACTTGTAAAAAACAGTAAAGGTGAATACATAAGTTATCTATTGTAAACTAAACACATTAAGTTGTAGAGAAAGATATTTTATCTTGATATAAGTTTAAAAATTCTTATACTCAATCTGAATCTTTTATTTAACTTATATTTAACTGTTAGTAAAATAATAAATTATAACTCATTAAATATAAGTTAAGTGAATGACTTAAATTAAGTATAAAAATTTTTAAACTTACATTAATGTAAGAAGATTTTGTCCTTGTTTATATAAAATGAATTAGAAAAGAAGTTGAGTAATAAAGGAAATTAAACTCAATCACTTGTTACCACTATGTATTTTTTTAATATTTTATTGAAAACAATTTTATTCAAGTTGTGCAGTATATTGTTTGTTATAAAATTCATTATTTAAATATTTAATACAGTTATATTTATTAAAATTTTAACTTAAAATTAAAGGTAATAACTTTGTATATTAAGTTAGGTAGTAATTAAATTGATTTGATAAGAAATTTATAACTTTGTATATTAAGTTAGGTAGTAATTAAATTGATTTGATAAGAAATTTGTGTTTTTTCTTTAAATAAATAAATAAAAATAGAGATAATATATAATAAAAAAATAATATGTTGATTAAAAGTTATAAATTTTAAATATTATTAACATAATGTCTTATAGTTTTAATAAAAAATTATATTTTTTCTCAAACACATACATTAAAAAATTTATCAAATAAAATACAAGATTAATTTATTTTTGTAATCTCATATTAGTTATAAACGTTCAAAATTAATAAGTTTTTATTAAAAAAATTATTATAATAAAACTATAAAATATTGTAAATATTTTTAATAAAACTCATTGACATTCTTAATCATTAATTTAAACACTTATATTATATATATATATGCCACATTAAAACTTAAAAGAAAAAGTGACATCATAGGATTAGAGTTTACCCAATATTTAGTTGGGTTAGACTGAGAGACAAGTTAGGTCTTAAATACCTTTAATTATGATGATGCTACGCGATAGGAAATTGAAAATAGATCTCATTATAATTTAAAATAAATTTTAATAATATAATAAAACATTTATTTTAATAGAGAAAGTATATCTTAATAATAATAAATTTAAATAAATTAAATATATCTTAATAATAAAATCAATCTTAAATTATATCATTTCTTTCTTCTGAAGTTGATTTTAAAATTAAATTCATCATTACTTGAAACTTTATTAGAGAAATATCTTAATTATTTAAAAGAGAAAAACACACAACAATTTGGCAAAGCGAGACATTCTTTAAAATATTTTTTTTTTAATTTTCTTAAACAATTTAATTTTTTCTCTTTATTTAATCCTCAAAAAGTTGCTTTAATAACAAAGGAATAAAGGTAATTTTTTTTATTTTTGTGAATAAATGAATCTCAATTGATATATTTATCATGAATCACTTTACAATAATTAAATTTGAGTTGAAAATGAAAAAAAAAAATTATATAAATCTAATAACAAGGAGTGATTAAGAATTAACACGACTTATTCCAATTTTTAAGAGATTTATGACAAATTTTAAGTGCACCCGTCATAAAGACACAACTAAAAGATTCACGTAAGCTTTAAATGAATAAATTCAAGAAACTTAAGTTATAAGCGAAACTATTAAAGGAATTTTGGCTAGGGTGCATGAAAATAAAGACTTGGATCATTCATAAGCAAATTACACTATATTTCACGTTATTATTTGCAAACCCAATTGGAATTTGAAATTATTTTCATTATCTAATAAAAAATAAATTATTTTTATTAGAATTTGTGAATGATTAAGATATGCTTTAATTTATTAGATTTGTTATTATTAAAATATGTTTTCTCTATTCGAACAAGAATTCTATTACAATATTAAAATTTATTTGATATTATATTTAGGATTTTATTATTAAATTTATTTTTTAAATTTTCGACCCAAATTAATTTTAAACTTTATCTATCTAAATTTTTTTTCATCAGTTTGAGTTGACTAGAAGACTTTAAAGGTAAATCGTAGGTTTTGGCCTAACTTAGAGTTAGACTTCCGTTAAAAGGTTCAAATAAAATGTATTTTTTTTTAGTTTGAAGAAATATAAAATGTAATCTTATTTCTAAAATAATTAAAATCTATTTTGTATTTTATGAATCATTTAATCAAATTTTATTAAATATATTTCATATTTTATGATGATTAAACATATTTTGGAAAATTATATATATATAAGATAGATTTTTTATATTTAAAATAAAAAATAGAAAACTTTAAATATTTTATATTTATGTAAAATATAAAATTTCAAAAGATAGAGTGATTCTATTGTTCTTTTAATAATTTATTCATGTTCATTCTATGTAAACTTTTAGAGAAATTCATGAGAAAAAAAATATAAGTATAAAAAATAAATAAAATTTTTATTATATATTAGAAATAATTTTTATTTCTTTATTTTTTAAAAACATTCTCTTATTTAGTTTCTTTAAAATTTTAAAAAATAATTTATTTTTAACTTATAAAATTTTTTTGAATTTTTTATATTAATTTTTTTTTTACATATTTTTATAAAAGTTGACTAAAGCTAAACATAATTTTATGGTCATGTACTTTGCCACGATCGTGTACAACGACCGTACAAGAGAGGTTGACAACAAGTAACTGATTGAAAACAGAAGAAAGGCAAGGGAATACATATCCACCTCTAGTGAAAGAAAATGGACAAAATTCTTAAAAATATAAAAATTATATATATATATATATATATATATATATATATATATATATATATATATATATATATATATATATATACGAGTAAAGATTTTTTTATTCGAGTGTAAGTTTAAAAATTTTTATAATTTAATCTAAATCTTTTATTTAACTTAAATTTAACAACTAGTAAGATAATAAATTATAACTCGTTAAATTTAAATTAAACGAAAGATTTATATATATATATATATATATATAGATGTAGGATTTTTTTATACTAGTGTAAATTTAAAAAGTTTTATATTAAATCTGAATTTATTATTTAACTTAAATCTAACGGTTAGTAAAATAATAAATTATAATCTGTTAAATTTAAGTTAAATAAAAAGTATATATTTATAACTGCTCTTAAGTGACATATCATCTACAATATCTTAACTCTAAAGCAAGTATATGTGTGTGTATATTACATAAAAGCAAATGCGATTTGCTCGACGGCGACACGACAATGAAGGCTTAAATAAACGCTTCAATCTCAAACACCATTTGGGATAAAATCCTCCTGGTTGCTATTGATGTTTCCTTCAACAAAATCAAAGTTGTATAGTACAAGTATCATTGCCATTGAAGAGAAGAAAGTTGGCACAGGCCCAAAGATCCAAAGAAGAAGTGAAATTGCGGTATAGAAAATCCTATTCCCCACAGTGTTCAATAACATGGCATTGTCCAAAAGACGAGTCAAATATTGTTGAGTCACCAAGGACTTGACACCCTGAGGAGTGCAAATAAGGATATTCACTTGATTCAGAAACCCAATTGATAAAGTGTGACAGAGAAATGAGACTGAGAATATGGCAAGGAGTATAGCATATTTTAGTGCCACCATAAATTCCCCATGTGCACCAAAAATTGTGTCGTTTATTGGCTTTTTAACACTGTAAGTGCTGCTTATGACTGCTCCTAGGCCAGCACATATCAGAATGGATGTTGTGGCCATAAGGGTTGACCCCATTATTATGTTTCTTAGACATTGGATTGCTACTATGTTCTTCTTCTCAATATCCTGCAACTTACAACATTTTTAATTGATTAGTATTATGCCCAAATAAAAGAAGTCTACAAAATAGTCTTCATTTATGGAAATATAAAATAGTCTGTATAATATAAAATCATGTCCTTATCTTTACATAACAGTTTTATTAAAATATGCAGCTAACATAAAAAACAATGAAGAAAAGCAGGTCACAGAAAAGAGAAGGTGGAAAAAGTAGGAAGAATATAAATATGATGAGTTATATACCTTGGACATGGCAGGAACCCATAATCGACGACCATCAGCATCTCTTCCAAAGGTTGTGGTGAAGGGCTGTGTACGACTCTTATGCCATAACCATACATGATATGCAACCATGATTGCTAACCCACATGGCACAAGCATCGCATCCATATAATATTTTCTCCACTCCATTTGTATATAAACTCTCACGCTAATTCCTCTTAATTATTTTCACTTAGTTTGCACTTTGCACATAGCCTTTTGGGTATTTATATATTCAGAGAAAGAGAGAGATCCTAATAGCTTCTTCAAGACAGATTCTAAGGTATGGAATCGTCTATAGTTTAACGAACACGTGACTAAACCATTCGGTATAATTATAATAACAATAATTTTATTTAATATTGTATAAGTTATAACTTTAGACTACTTAGATATATATGAGTAGTTAAAATTAAAGATTAATTAATATTTTCATGATTATGTAAAAAAATTTCAATTGTGATAATTCAAATGAGATATGATATATTTATTGTTCTACTTTTTTGTAATAATATATTTTTTTTAGTTAATTTTCTTAATTTTTATTTCAATTTTATTATTTAAACATTAAAAAAATAACACATCTAATATATATTTTTTATCCAGTTTAATTTAAATCTAATTTGAGTCGTACACTTGAATACTGTAGATAAGTCTATTACTAGAGATTTTTTACATATACAAAGATTCGAATCAGAAATTTTACTTAAGCGATACCAATTCGCTTGTTACTTAAATCAATACATGCTATATCATTTATAAATTAGATTTGTTTCTTCCTTAATTTTTATTATTATTTTGTTATACTTATTTATTTATATATATATTGTTATTTAAAACATGTATTAAAAAATATTTCCTTTTATTCGTTGTTTAAAGAAACACTTAATCTTTATACAAAGATGATAAATACTAATAATTATTTTAAAAAATAAAAATTTTAAAATATTTTTTATTAAAATATAATAATATATTTATTTCATAACTTTAATACAATTTAAGTTTGATTTTTTAATTTATTAATTACGAAGACAGTAATTAAGAAAATTTCACATTGTATAACAATATCTTAATTTTTGTTTCATTTATCATACTTATACACATTTTCTCTTATATTATTTATGTTTCCATTTCCCATGGCTCGAGTATCTCTTTCCATTTTATTTGTCAGTAATCTTCACCGTCATATTTCTTTTTGGGCAGAGGTGACAGTAGTGCGGAATATATACGTAAGCCAACTGTGAATCTGTGAGGTCATGATATGGGTATGTCATATATATATATATATATATATAAAATAATTATTGTTATTTTTTATTTTTTAAAAAAATTATTTACTAAAATATTAATTAGTATTTTAAAAAATTTATCTTAAAAATTATTTTAATTTAATGAATTCAATTTTTATATATGATATAATAGAGAATTAAAATTACGGTAATTCTATTATAAAATTAATTTATTAATTTGAAATGTATAAAATTTTAAAATAAATTATTTAAAAATTAATTTTACTTTCTTAAAAATAAATTTGTAACTTTTAAGATACAAATCAGCTTAGTTATACATATTATATATTAAGAGTGAAAAAACATTCCACTTTTTTATTATAAATTATTATAAATTATTGCAAGGAGAATATAATAGTTAAGACAATGTATTTAAATTTATGAAAAATATTTAAAATTATATTTTAATTCTAAATTTGATGTTAAAAGAATTTAAGACCATAAATCTATTATTATGACTTAATCATTAACTAAAGATAATGTCTAGTTATTTAATTTTTTATATTATTTGAATATAGAATTAATTATATTTAATGAAAAAATATTTAAAAAAATAAAAAATATATTTAAATTAATTAATAAAAAATATTTTATTAATAAAATTAAAATATTATTTGATAAATTTATATTATATAAAATAAAATAATATTAGTATACAGAAATTTTAATAATTTATAGCGTATAAATATACGAGATATTACACAATATCATTACAAATTAATGATATTCTACTTTTAGTTTTATCACTATTATAATTTACTAACAAAAATAAATAAATAAATAAATAAAACTTTAAAAAAATACTAACACATAAATAATACTCTATTTATTTATAATTATAAATATTATTAAAATAAAAAATTAATATTTAAACATTTTAAAAATATATAGTTACTAGTAAAGTCAAATCAGGGAAAAAATCAAAAGAAAGTCCGACAAATGACTTATTGTTACCAGAGATGGTTAATGAAATTAAAATAAAAATGAAAGTACTACTCATCACTTTTACATGCAATCAGGCTTAAGTGATAATTAAGAAAAAGAGTAAAAGTTAATTATGGTCGCAAAAATCTTTTGTGTTCAAGAGCTCTTTTTTTTTTTTTTCTTTCTTTTTTTCTTTATATATATATATATATATAACTCTTCTTTGTTTTCTTTTTTTCTTTTTTGTTTCTTCTTGCTTTTTGCTCTTTATTTTTTCCCTTTTCTAGTGGCTCTCTCTGCATATCATCTTTTTCTCTATATATGTTAGTCTTATTTTTCCTTTTAAAATTTTATAAGAGGCTAAATTTTTTATTTTTTTTTATTTATGCTAAAAGTTGATTATTAATTCTAAGTTGAAGCCTACACAATATAGGATTTCTATTTCCACGAGCCAAATTGATTTCCCAACACTTTCCCTTTTTTTTTTCCGTTAGATATTCTTATATTAAAAAAAACTTTTGGATATAACATTTTTGGGAGACAAAAATTAGTGTCCACAGTGACCTATGTCCATATTATTAGCAATATTAAATACATAAAAAAATTAATTAAAATAATAGTTGAAAAAAATTAAAAAAATATTGTTGGGTCTTCTTTATTATTTTATATTTTTTTTAATAAATAAGCACATAATAACATTATATGATGTTATATAATATTTTACAATATTAATTATTTTTGTAATTTTTAAAATTTTAAATATGCTTAAATATCCATGAATTTTTTTTCCTTTTATCTATATTTTTCCATTATATTCTTTGTCTGTTTTAAACCCCAGCTGAGACACTGATAAAAACAACACTATAAACCCTGTGGATATCTTAATTACAATCCTTTCACTGATACTCTTCTTAAACAGCTGGCTGATTCTTGATAGAAACAACACTATCTCTTGCCAATCTTGGAAAGATAACATTGTTATATTACATTGTTGATTCTCACCTAAATTACAAATGTAAGAACTAAAATAAACTATTTGATAGTGAGTCGAGTAATGTCTTAACCAAAACAAAATAATATTATCCGTTGACTTGCAATGTCCATCATAGCTGGAAAGGAATCTGATGCTAATGTTCAGATGCGAAGAACGACATATCAAGGGGAAAAAGAGGCAATGACTCTCTCTCTCACACACAGCTTTCTTAATTTTTAAATAGCATTTTTTTACCCTTTTCTCTTCTTCTGTGCATGTTGTTTTAATTATCAAGCCTTTAATGTTTTAAGTTTCTAACTAACGTTCTTTACTCCCCATGTATCTTTTCATGTCTTTTACAAAATACAAATTTTCTTAGCTTTATGATGAGGTTTTAAATATTTTCAAATTCCATATTTAAGATGCTTTACACAATTATTGAAGCTGTTAATTATTTCAAAATTTATTTATAGCTTTTATAAATTGAGTAATTATACAAAATTTTACACAATTTAAATACTAACTAGTACTTCCTCTCTTATTATATTTTAACAAATTATGTACTATTTAAAATACAATCAAATATCTATTATTAGATATATGTCAACAAGTGTTTGAATTGTATAAAAATTTATGTAGATAACCATATAATATCATTAAAAATATTAATAGTTAAATTAATAAAAAATTATTTAAATATGTTATTTTACAATTCAAGACACTTAGTGTCGTTTGATTTGTATCTTCAAATGCATGTTATGTAAAATGCAAGTTTTCAATCATGTAAGATTATCTCTATAAAAAACATGCTCAACATTAGAATGGAATGACTTCATCTTGTTTGAAGTTATTTCTTTTATCAAATTTATCTCCATATGTTTGATTTAAGAAATTTCTGTCACGAAATCATCAATTTTGAATTTTTTATTGTTGTAGGTCATTATCAATCAACACTTTGAGAGATTTTCATGCCAATCTTAGTTATTCTTTGAGAGGAATAACTTCTATCGATGTATCTTCCTTCTTACAGTTGTTTGTTAGATTTCATTAATCTTGACTTTTTTAGAATTTTTCTCCTTAACATTTTCTTCTTCTATTGAGATCTTTAATGGCCCATTCATATATTTTTTATGAGAATCTTAAAACGATATTAAATTTTTCAGAAAGAGAAAAAAACATAAACTTTAATAATTCATTAAATGGCAAAAAATCTCTCAACGAAATACCCTCAAGATGCCACTGACAATGCATCTCTTACCAAACTCTATTAGAGTTAGGCTTTTACTCTCAAAAGTGGCAATGTTTCTTGAAGTCCCCTTTTAATACATAAGAGTCATTGACTTTACATTTTTGAGTGAAATACCAAACAGGGTATTACTAGATTATATAACGGTAAGTGTTTGAATTATATAAAAATTTATATATATCAACATATAATATTATTATAAAAATTTAATAGTTAAATTAATAAAATTTATTTTTAATAAAAATTATTGAATTTGTTAAGTGAGAAGGATAAGTGAGAAAAATAAACATCAAGTGAATTTGCAATGCAGGGGCAATTTTGACTTTCAATAATGCAATGAAATACGTGGGCATGGAAGATCCCGTGTTTGGACTTTTAAGGTATTCTTGCTACAATGATGAGTATATTTGCTGATCGTGTATTTGATTTCACGTTTTCACACTCAAGACATGAATAGTTTTTACACTACATAGCATAACTTCTAACAATTAGCAGCCCCGCTTAAGGAAATATGTTACTTGTCCAAAAACATGCTTAATTGACGGGGTATTGTTTGGGATATGAAAAATTTTCTAAGTTAAAAAATCATTTTGAAGGAAACTACATTTCAACAAGTTTTGAGGGCCAAGAAAGAGCCAAAAAATAAGCCAGAACATAAGAGAATATTGAAAGATTATCCAAGATCTTTAGTTTTAATTAAAAGGAACACATTTCAAGCTATTTTAGGAGATTTCTATCATATTGTTGATTTTTCTTTAAAGCTGCTTGAAAGACAAAAAAATATTCTAAGTCCACCTAATTAAAAGCTTTTTCGAGGAGTTTTTGAGAAAGTTTCAAAGTCCTTGACACTCAAAATTGATCGAAAAGCATGACTAACAAAAAAATATTCTAAGTCCACTAAACTAAAGGCTTTCTCGAGGAGTTTTGAGGAGTTTCCAAGTCACTAACACTCAAAATTGCTCGAAAAACAGGACTGACAAGAAAATATTCTAAGTCCACAAACAACTGATGGCTTTTCGAGGAGTTTCCAAATCCCTAACACCCAAAACTGCTCGAAAAACAGAAAGTGGTCAGAAAATATTCTAAGTCCACAAAACTAATGGCCTTTTCGAGGGATTTTGAGGAGTTTCCAAGTCCTTGATACTCCAGAAATTGCTCGAGAAACAAAAATAAGCAAAGAAAATATTGTAAGTCCACAAGATCAAGACAAGCTCTCAAAACTCCAGAATTGCTCGAAAAGAAAATTCAAGAAGAAACTACTCTAAGACCATAACATTAAATAAGTCTCTTAGGTTTCTCCCAGAAATACTCGAAAGATAGAAAAATAAGAGTCTTGATAGGTGATAGGTCAAGTCATTGCAAAATCCAAAAGCGTTTACCAGCAGTTATCAACATTCACCACTACGCAAAGGAGATCGTGGGCGATAGTGGTTACGAAAGAAGTCTCAACCAACAACACGATCACAAGCAATCGTGGATAATGGGTATCAACAGTTAAAGGTAGTTACTAAAAAGTGCCCGCAAAAGGAGGAGAACGGTGGTAGTCTTCATGTCTATAAATACTCCAAAACGCCATTTTACAAGAGACGACTTTTTGCACCTAAACACAGCACCTAACTTCTCTGAAACGCTAAAACCCTACACCGCGCCAGATACCAGCTACAAGGAGACCCACAGTGGCCGTTGTGAGGAGTCGTACGTTTACATTCCTGCATATTTACATTCTTGCACATTTACCTTTCTGCATTTTAATTCTAGTTTGTCGTTTATTTCCTTTCTGTAATTTAGTTTCGTATTTAGCACTATCCGCAAAGAACCTCTACGTTGTGATTCAATTTACACGTTTTATATTCACTATTCTTGCTAAAGTGTTAATTTACGACGTCCATTTTACTGTTACATTAACAACACACATAAAAGAATCCAAAGAGGACCTAATCCAGTTCTTAGATTACTTTTGGATTATTTGTTTACAAATTGTTATTTTTCACTGTAAACAGGTATCTTATCTCTTACGCCATTCATGTTCTCAAAGATTGTCATTTTCATCTCATGTACAAGGTTCTTTGTTTAAAATTGCGTTTGAAAATATAACTTAATTGAATATTTATTTAACAAACACTTTTTATACGAGGCTTATCTCATAAATGTGATCATAAAGTTTTTTGAAATAAAATTTAAAAGTTTATTATAATAAATCATAGTAAAAAACTTATTAAAATAAGTTTAAAGAAACTTCTATCATAGCTATAAACTTTATCAAGTTTATAATCAATAGTCTCACACAATTCTTGTATTCGCAAAAATAAATAAGGGAAGCAACTCAGATGTTACCAATATGAAATATTCATTAAAATGAATGCAACTTGAGACCCTTTGTCAATTCCTATGTTTTCTTTCCTAGGAAGACACAAAATCTAGCTTATGAAGCACCAACACCATGGCAACCTCACATGAAAATGCCATCACCGGTCCAAAGATCCAAAGAAGAAGGGGAAGCCCTGTGTGTAAAACCCTGTTTCCCACAATACTCAAAATAGTGGCCTTTCTTAATATCTCAATTAAATACTCTTGGGTAACCAAACTCATGACATCTTGTGGTGTGCAAATGAGGATGCTCAATTGGCAGAGAAAACAAACTGACAAAGAATGAAAAAGAAATGAAAATATGAATACAACAAACAGAGTTGCATATTTTAAAGCCACTGCAAATTCCCCTTGTGCTCCATAAACTGAATCAATGAGTGGCTTCTTCACACTGTAAGTGCTACTAATCACTGCTCCAAGGCCACAGCAGAGAACGATGCTTGTGCTGGCCATAAAAATTGACCCCATCATCATGTTCCTAACACTTTGGACTGCTACAATGTTCTTCTTATCAATATCCTGAAAATTTAAAATTTACGTATATATTGTGGAAGAATACTGTAAGAAGGGAAAAAAAATTAAAACTTATTCAAACAAGGTAGTAAATTACTACCTAATACTCTCTCGCTCTCATTCACATTAATTAATTAAACGAATAGAGATTAAGAGTAATTTTTGTAAAGTGGTTAAAGAGATTCTTTAATCTTTATATATAGAAAGTAGCATATTATTGGATAAATTTAAGTAGGTAGAATATGCAGAACAGTTTGAGTTTTATAAATAACAGAAAAATTTAAATCATGATTATATTTATAAATAAGCATGCTTTTTAACAGTATAAAATAATTAATAATTAAGAAATTTTAAGATAAGAATAAATAATATTTAAGATTCTCAATGTAAAACAGGATGTGGAATCTAAAATGGCATACCTTAATGATGGTAGGAACCCACAAACACCTGCCATCAATATCTATTCCGAAGATGGTTAAGAAAGCTTGAGTCCGAACCTTATGCCATAACCAAAGGTGGTAACCAAAGTTTATGAGTAACCCTAAGGGTATTAACATGACATCTAAATACAATGCCCTCCACACCATATGTGTATAAATCTACCTCTCTTTCAAGTGTGTTCACTTCTCTTGCCTTTCAGAGAAGCTTTATATCCTTCTCGTGTGTTTTGACTTGTGACATTGTATTAGAGATATTTAAAAACTTCAACTGGGAATTGAAATCGAATGCGAGAAAGAGGTTCGTATAATTCTGGAGAAGCGAATTTAATTAGTTGTACGATATATTCCATTGTTCTTGTTAAAGTTTACACCAAATATATTCTAATTCCGAATTATCAATTTTAAGTCACATCCTGTAAATTCCTAACTAATATTCTTTGGAATTTTTATTTATTTATTTTGCATCTCTCTTTCTCTCTCCATATATACGTAGGTACTAGTCATGAATAATTAGATATATATCTGATAATAGTCCCCCAAAAACTAGTTAAAGTGTGGTATGGGTGAGATCGTTTCTTTTATTTGCAATAATGGGTCTATGTGGTGAACCAAGACCTCATTTGAGATACAATTCAAATGACATAAATTTGGCATAGGATCTATGGTGATGAGAGTTGAAATAAAAATATAACAGACTCTAGAAGGAAAATAAGAAAACTATAGGTTAAGTTCAATGTATCCACAATCCCAGACGAACTAAGAGCTAATTTGCTAACTATTTGATATATCAAATATGTACAATAAGTTGAAGATCAGTGTTTGAAAAGATAGTTGCAATTAAAGAGTAAAAATTATTGTTTTCTAATGTTCAACTGTGACATTTTTTTATCTTTTTAAAATTTTAAACGAGTAAATAATTATGATAATGATCAAAGAAAAGCAAAAATGAAATATTATATAGTGAAAATCTTGGACAGTGAACATAGATTGCTTTATAAATTGTATTAGATTCAATAATTGTTAGCTGTGATGATAAGGAATAATCTTCCCAGTGATATATTATCGTGGGCATCTCTCTAACATGCTCTTCGTTTGCAAATTCATGACACACGACCTTACACTTTACACCTAACATGGCATCACCCAAAGTACATCATGCCACTCACTTTATTTAGTGAAGGGAACTTGGTTCTGTCAGTTCTGTATATTTGCTGTGATTTTTGAAAACTAAATGACGGAAAAGAATCCCAGTGTTTACGTGCAAGAGAACAAAAAGAATGTTCTAAAGAATAAAATAAAAGAATATTCAGCCCCGTTTATATTCTATTTCTAAATTTACAGTTTCGTTGGATGCATTTGAGTAAATTATAAATAGCTCATTTAAGATAATTTAATTAAAAGAATTTATGGTTTTTATAAACTATTTTTAATTTATTTTAAATGATATAATTAAATTTATATCATAATATTTCAAGTGATAAAAAATTATTAATTGTTAGTGAATGGGCCGTGCCTGCTGCTTCGTCTTCTACTAATAAATGCAATATTATTTCGGATAAATATAATGTGTGATTATTCAATTTTTGGTTTGAATCATTATTATTTAGTTGACAACAATTGTTTTATTATTTTATTAATTGTGTAAACCACAGGTATCGTGTATTGAGAGTAATTATATTATGTTAAACTGAAATATTTTTTTATAGGTAATTTACATATTCATTAATATATATAAGTTATTAGTAATTAAACTAATAAATCATAAATCAATTTTGTAGCAGCACAACAACGTTCCGGTTTAATTTTAAAAACATTAAAATAAGTACTTAATCTATTTATTTACATATACGCCCATTAAAATAAGTATTCACAAGTTTTTGTTTACAAGCTATTTCGCAAAGAAGTGATGAGAAGACCCTAACATTGAACCCACTTGGGCCTATAGTTTATTTATTGTAGTTTTTAATTAGTAAATTAGTAGAGTTATTTATTTGGTGAAAAAAATAAATAAAAGAAGCTTATAATTTCTTAAAAAAACTATCTTATAAAAAATTACTTCGAACATCATTTAGCTCATTAAAAATTAGCTGTCAATATTATCTTTTACTTTTATCCTCCTTAACCTTTAAAATAATTTAGACTACCACAAAATAATCCTAACACTTTTTAATTATTAATATATTTTAATCAGATTTAGAATTAGATTTAACAATTTTTTTCTAATTAAATCAACTAGTTAAAGATATAACTACAAATTTGGAGTTTTCTGTTTGTTCATTAATTGCAAGCTATGAGCTTTAAGCTTTTAATTAGTTTACCAATTAGAGTCAAAATGCATGTTTTGTTAAAAGATCTTAAATAAAAGATTCAGAGTGTAAGAATTTTTATATTTATACCCGTGTAAGAAAATTTTATTTCTTTGTTCAATTAATTTTTAAAATATAATTTCTTGTTATCTACAGTTTTGTGAAAAAAAAAACTTTTAAAATAGAAGTGATTATTTTGTTAAGAAAAAGACTCACAAACACGTCCTAATAAAAAATTAACTAAGCTAGCAATTTATCCCACAAATATCATTTCCATCGATCCTCCAAGTCTACCAAGGAAGGATAGAAAGAGAATAAATAGGAGTCAAGTGATCCGAAGGATAGAAAGTACATGGAAATGGAAGAGACCCCCAAAATTATAAAGAACATTGTGAGCTCTAAAACAAAATTTTCTAATGTGTAAAAATAATAAAAATGGAGAGAAAGTAAGAGACGTAATTAATGATGTCAAAAAGAAGAGAAAAAATATTAAAAAAAATGAGTGTGAAAATATAAGAATTGCTAGTAATTTTAAGCCCATAATAAAAGTTTTTTGGTTTAAGCTTGTGGCTCTCATAAATTACGCCACAATAATCTGCCACCTTTCATAACCAAAAACATAGTGCCTCCCAATATGATTAGTCAATCAAGTGCACTTAATAAATCAGGAAAATCGAAACACGTTACAGTGTTACACATTGCTATTTCATTCAGCAATGAAAAGAACTCTTGGTGCCACAAGGAAAAGGCTTGATGTGGAGACAGACAAAAGACTATATAATGGTAATCATATTCAAAGCCATTTATGAGCAAAAAGTCATTTGAATTATCCTTATTTCAATAAAGCGCTTCTGCATGCGCTTGTTACTTGTAAGAGTAAAATACTACTACTTTTTTGCAACATAAAGTTGGAAACAAGACATACGCATGATGACACATACACATTGATCTAATCTATTCCATGGTCTCTGTGCATGTTTGGATAGGATTATTTTTAGCATAAATATTGTTTCTTATTTAAGCTATCTCACAGAACTGTGAAAATAAATTATTATTTTTCAAAATAAGTTTATCTAAATACGTGTTTTAAGACATAGTGTAATTAAATAATTATTTAATATAAAAATCACGTTATAATTTAATCATAAAGTTTATTAATTTTAATAAATTATACTAACTTATTAAAATAAAATTTAAAAAAATTATAAAAATGACAAATTACTTTCATAAGTTGTTGATTAACTCCTCCAAATGCATCTTTAGACATGACTTAATAAATCATGCAAAGTCACTTTTATCATTCAGCACCATCTTTGCTTTCACGCTTCCACAAACAAAGTCAAGGTTGTAAAACACTAGTAACATAGCTATGAAGCACAAGAAAACCAGCACTGGACCAAAGATCCAAAGCAAAAGAGGGAGTGCTGAGTAGAATATCCTGTTTCCCACAGTGTTCAAAATCGTTCCTTTCTCCAAAATCTCAGTTAAATATTCTGGAGTCACCAAGGACATGGCATCTTGTGGGGTGCAAATGAGGATGATCAACTGATTGAGGAACCTTATTGATTGGCTGTGGCAGAAAAATGAGAACAAGAATATTGTCAAGAGTGTCACATATTTGAGTGCTACCATGAATTCATTGTGAGATCCATAGACAAGATTATCAAGAGGCTTTTTCACACTGTAAGTGCTGCTTATAACTGCTGCCAAACCAGCTGAGAGAAGAATAGAGGTTGTGGCCATAAGAGTTGATCCCATGATAAGATTACGAAGACTTTGAGCTACTAAGATGTTCTTCTTTTCAATGTCCTGCCATGAACACAATGTTTTGATGAGAATACGGATTTACAAATAGCAAAATGTTAAGTAGCATCTCATGGTATTAATTAAGAAATTAAACGTATTTTTTGCATTAAAAAAAATTTAATGTTATACTTTTTTATAATTTTGATAAAAAGGTATTTATTAAATTTTTAAATCAATATTAGAACTCTGAGTAGAAGAATGCTTACACATATGCTCAATATGAAATGGAAATTAAATTACCTAGGCTATTGATCATTGCCACTACCACATGGTGGCACGGAAAAAGAAGTTCCCAATTTAAATATCTAACTATCTTTTCTAAAGTATTAGCCTTAATTAAGTGAATAGACTCTTCAATATTGTGAGGAAAGAAACGGGTGGCCCACTTAGCAATTAGCATTGTGGCAAAAAGGATTAAAGTAATGTTATGGATTGTGAAGAAATTGTTTTCAACCAGACCAAAAAACGAAAGAAAACCTTTTTTTTTAGGTAACCCACTTTGAAATGAAAGAGATGGTTCATATTTTGCAAAAGGCCCCATATTACGTAGAAAATAAATAAATAAATCTAGGTCCTCAAATTACGTTCATCCGCACACACAAATGTATTCAATATTCTAAAGTGATAAAAATCTCATAAATATTTACTTTAATTCTTAAAAATATACAGTATTATTTAAATTTAAAATTTTAATTTTTAGAATTAAAAATCATTAATTATGTTAATTTTTATTATTAAAAAATATTAAAATTAAGTAATTGTGATAGTTTATTCTACACACAAAATAACATTGTTTTATAATTTTTAAAAATAGTTCATTATTATTATTAATTTTTAACTTTATCAAATAATAAGGTTTTTTCTTTATTTTTTTTGTTCTCTCTTCTTCTATGCTGTCTTTTTCTTTTTTATACTACTCCTACAATGTGTTTTGCATTACAAAATTTTTTCATCTCATGTTTTATCACCTAAACTACTAAATCCAAGACTCAAACCTAAAATTTTAAGTGAAGATTTGAAACAAATTGATAAACAAAGAGGTACAATAGAGATTAATTTTGTTTGAAGCCAAATGATGATTTCTTATAATTGAAGGGAGTGATGTTTAAAGGGTCAAGGGGTAATGAGGGGCATGAGAGGATGGAGTGTAAGTGAATTAGAAAAAGATTAAATTTAAAGATGGTTTTATTAGGTGTGCAATGACGAGAATGACGAGAAGTGAAGTTTAGGTTGATGAGAACTTGAATTTATTGGATTGTATTTGAAATAAAATGTGAAATTTTAAATTAAACCAAAGAAAGAATTGTAAAGAGTGAGTGAAACTCTTTTAGTTGAAAAAAGATAAAGTAGAATCATGAAAGTTGGTGATATATAAAATTTATTGTTTGAAAATATTAAAAGTAAAAAATAGAGAAATATTTTTAAAAGATAGTAGAATGATATAAATTTGTATTTAGAATAAATTATCACGTATCACTTAATTTAATAAATTATCACTTTATTATTTAATTTTAATATTTTTTAACAATAAAAATTGATATAATAAACTATTTGTTAAATTTAAAGATTAAAAGCATGTCTGTTTTAATTTTTAAAAAGAGTAAAACTCATTTTAAAAATCAAAACAAACATGCTCTAAAATTTCAAATTTTGAAAATTAATTTTAATCAAATTATTCATTTATGGGACTAAAGCAAAAAATATATCCAATAAAATTCTTTTTCTTGAATTTATGAATGAATATTACACAACATGATTTGTAAATGAAAATAGAACTCTTAAACTAATACTATTTAAAATTGATTTTCTATTAGAATTCAATTATGAATGAAATAAAGTACTTTATTTCAAGGAGTTCAAAAGATTCCACATGCATAGTGCATTTAATCTACAACATGCTTTTTCACAACTCCAAGTACCTTTGGGAACAGCATGCGGCATTGATCAAGTATGGGAGATAAAATCAAAATTTCGAGGATGAAACATGCAAAAGGTTGAGAAAGAATCAAATTCGTGCTGTCTAATCATAAACCATCCATCAGATTCATTCACCAGGCCAATGGATAAGTTATGATTTATTAAAAAAAAAAGCACATTTTAGTTGTTTATTCTCTGTCACATCACTCATTTTATTTTACGTTTTTTTCTCCTCTTTTTTATTAATGCTTTCTTAATTGTAAGAATAGTGTAAACTGAAAGTTGCAGGTAAATAATTATTTCCCTTAATGTATGCATTCAATCTTTATATCTTTGTCTCCCGTGTCTACTTGAATCTAAGAAGCTCTTCACAAAGTATTTGACCACAGAACTTTATGGAAATACTCGAACAAAGGAGATGAAGATTAACATATGAAAAACTAGTATAGATTAATGGCAAGAAATTATTATTTTTTAATGAATGTGTTTAAATACACAGCACATATCTAATAATTATTTTTAAAAGAATATTTACGTCATAAATTTAACTATAAAAATTATCACCATAAACTAAAAATAATTTACTGTAACAAGGTATATCAAAAAAATTAGTGAAACAAATCAAAAATAAATCTTATAAGAATCATAAACCATTTTTTGTAAACTTTTTATAAACTCTATTAAACGAGATCTATATCTAGGTTTAGAATTACAGTACTACCATTCTCAAATGCAAATATGCTTACACTGAACAAAAAGATGAAGGAAAAAAAGAACTAATTACAAATATTTGTAATTAAGGTTTTCATGGACAAGATTATATACCTTTAACATGGTAGGCACCCAGAAGCGTCGAGCATGAGCATTGGTTCCAATTGTGGTGGAAAAGGGCTCTGTGCGAGTCTTATGCCACAACCAAACATGATAAGCAATGGTTAAGAGAAATCCTAATGGAACAAGCACCATATCCAAATAATAATTCCTCCATTCCATTTATTTTTTATCCTCTCTCTCACTCCCCTTTATATATGATTCACAGGGTTATGTGTTGAGAGTGTGTGCACTTTAACACTGTTTCTCTATCCCGTGATTCTCTTAGATTCTTTCTCCTACCTAGCAATGAAGCTCTATATATAATGGAAAATCATGTGAGTGGAACAAAATGAAAAGCAAAAGTTGTTGGCAACTGGGCTTTACTAAAATCAATTTTAGTGATACTAACATGTTAAATTATTGTATTATCGTGGAAAGTAATGTTTAAATATTTGTAATTGTTTTTGTCTAAATGTGTTAGTTATATACATTGGAAAACAAATGGAATCTAGCTAGAGGTATCAAATCTGATTCCCCACCCAATAGCGACACTTGTTTTTACAAAATAAACATAATTTTCTATTTAAGACTATGCACTTGGCGTTTTCCAATGGTTGAGGCTTCGCACCATTTTCATTAATTTATTTTACAAATGAAAGAAAAATGAGATTCGTGATTTAGGGCTAATCAAGTAGCATCAATAAATTCAATCATAATTTAGTCATTCAAACAAAATATTTTCATTTCAAATCATTTAAATTTAGAGTTAGGGGATATCTAGAATCAGTGCAGAGTCCCAACTTCAATGAGAACATACAGAAGATTTACAGATAACTAACTAAAATGTGTCTGAACAGTTCTTACAAAGAAGAAAAAAACTGAGGAGTAAATCGGAATCAAATTACATTTTAGGGTAAACTAATTACGCTTTTAGTTTATGTAATTTTACACTTTTTTAATTTATTCTCGTTTTTTTTTTGTCACTAAATCATTTTATACTTCTTTTTATTGACACTTAATTTTTTTACAGAGATATTTTTTAATCACTTTACTCTCTCTCACAATTAAGAAGGTTTATGTATTAAAAGAGAAAAAAAAAATAGAAAGTAGATTGAAAAGGTATTAAGTTTGTCTTCTTCGTAAAAACAAAAGAATAGTGCCTCTGAAAAAACCAATTAAGAGAGTCATTCTCAATTGGCTCTAGCACTAGATTTTATTTTTATTTTACTTGTTTTTATGGATACAAAATAAAACAATTTCATTTTCTTTAATAGCATCTTATATATCTCTTTGTTACGAAAGGAAACTTATAAAAAAATTTAATTAATTTGTTTTATCACAAACAAAGTTAGATATTTCTTTTTTACAAAAAAAAAAAGTAGATGCATTCTAATGAAAAATTAATTAATTAAAAATTACATAATTAATCACTTTAGAAAAAGTGATAAGAATTTCTGCTGGATGGATCTTACAAAAAGTCAATTCAATGCATATGTTTCATGCCTTTTCTATATAATGAAAGCCTAAAATTACATATGTTTCGGTGCATATAATTAAATTATATATAGCTAGGTTCAGGTTCAATGGTGTAGCTACTAGTTGAAATAAGCCAGCAGCCACTGTGCCTGTGGAAATCTTCAAAGTGTATTGTTCGCATGGAATAAGTGCTTTAGTTCATATATCTTTGCACTTCTCAAAAATTTCCACACATTTGTAAGTATAAGTCCTATGCCATACTTTTGGGTATAATATTAAGTTGAATGTGACTTTCGTTTGGTTGCTTCTTTAACTTTGCCATTTCATACTACCGGAGAGTAGTTCAGAAGAAAAACAAGTTAACCAAGTAGAGTTTTATTATTTTAATTTGAATATTCTACAAGAACATTTTAACATATAATTTAAATAATAGTAGTATTAAAAACACTTTATAATCAAATTCATAAGTATGAATATAAACTTTATCTATTAAAATAAAGATATACGATCAATGAAAAAATTGTACACCTTTATATAATAGAGCTAAAAAAATTTTTATGAAAAATATCAAAATTTAAAATACTACTAAAGGAAAATCTTGGCTAACAATCGATAGAATATCTTGCAATTGAACTACTCTGCCAGGAATTGAACAATTGATAGGTTCAATGCATTAGCAGCCTGGCTTTCAGGGTTTACAATCTGCATGATTTGTGTATCTTCGTGTCAAATACGTGCGTAGGCCGGTGCATGATTTTGATAAATTTTTTTAAAAAATTTCATATAAAAATTATAAATAATTTATATTTTTTTATATTTAAAAAAATTATATAACTGAAATAAATTACTTTTAATTTATGAAAGAAGTTTTAGTTATTGTTTATATTAATTTGTTTTAATTAAAATTTATATAGACTTTATTAGTTTAGTATTACCTTACATTAATTAGTAATATTTTGTTAGATAAGTTTAAGCTTGAATTCTAAACATTTAACTGCATAGAATAATTAAAAGAAGAATTTTTTTATTTATGATAATTTTATATATTATGATTACATATATATGAAGTTAAATATAATAAATTTTTTATTAAAAATTGTAGTGTTTCATAGTATGTAAATTGCCTCATGAATCATTTAGTATGTACAATTTTTATCTTTCAGAATATATGTTCATTTAGTATCTAATTTATTCTTGTATATACAAAATCGTCACACTATGATCCTAAAAACCTTGACTTTACGAAATGAAATTAAAAATATTTGCTTTTGTTTGTTCAAATAATTAAAGGCCCAATGCTATTTATTCTTTAGTGATTGTAAGTTTAGTATTTTAAGCAAGTGGAAGAGAAAAGATGGAGCAGCAAAGGCTTAGCTGCCATTACAATCTATCTAACAAGAAGACATTTCAAGATTCTCTCCACACATCTTCATCTATACATATCAACATCATATATGATTCATATCCAACTATATATGTTTCCCTCAGCTAATAATCTATCTCCACTTGTACGTGCCTGCCTGTGTTACTATATGAGGAATGGGACATTAAATCAAACTATTTTCACTCAATAAGAAAAAAAAATTATTTATTTTTATATTCATATAAAAATTTATGATCATATTAATTATTAATTTTAAATTATATTTTAGACTATAAGTATCATTTATCGTAGGTAATCTTGTTTGGATCAAATATATAACTATCATGAGCAGTAAAATTCTTTCTATACAACTGTATTTACTAATTTACGGTTTATGGGTGGCAACACCTCGCTGAGTTTTCTACATGTAATTACGTATAACAAAACGTAGAAAGCTACTTTTATGGTATGAATGATGGTTTTATAGAGTATTTAAAAGTATAGGAATGTAATCACTTTTTCACAAGCCAGTGTAGATCCAAATTTGGTAATAGAGAATACTAAATACAAAGCATGACTCACAATTACAACATATTTTTCAACAAGTTATTTCTCTTATAATGATGGTACTTAGAATTGTTAAAAAATTTCAAATTATTATTTCTCTAGAAAGTATTAGATGAATGCTTTGTAATGGATTTATGTTTATTCCATAACTTTTGGTAATTTATAATTTTTATAGTTGTTTCTATTGTAATTTTAGGATGAATATCACTCATACTCAATATTAATATAATTTTTTGTGCTTATAAAAAAATTATATTTACTAAAATTTAAATTCGAAATCATACGTTAAATTAGAAGAAAATTTTACCTTTTAATTCTCTCGATGAATCATAGGTTAATTTGAGTGAAATTTTAATATAAAAAAATAAATGTAGTAATTACTTGTATAATTAGAAATGTTGTTAATTGTTTGAATTTTACTAGCATTAATTAGATAGATTATGAAAATATTTAATGAATTAATTAATTGTGATGATGATATATCGTGAAAATATGTATGTATTCGTGGCATGTAGCTGTGAAAGTTGATATGTGGAGGTTAATATGTATAACTTTGGTGAGCAAAATAGTGAAGATATCATACTTTATCTTATATTACCTTTCCAAATTATTGGCAAGAATCAAAAGGAATATGGTCAAAAGGATCTAAAGTGAATTAAGATTAAGTTCTGTGTCCCCTTCTCATCTAAATTATGAGTTGAGAAAAAGTTATTGGACATGCTTTTACCCAAACACATCGAACCCGTCCTCCTCAACTCCACCAGTTTTGTCGTTTCCTAATTAAGGAAAAAGGATTACTAATAAAAAATTTATTATATTACAAATTTATCGTATTATTTTTTATTAAATTAATAATAATAATTTTTTAATTTATGTTCAAAACCACATAATAAAGAATTGATAAACGATAAATTTTTATTAAAATTTTAATATTTAATATTATCAATATAATATATATTATAAATTTTAATAAAAGTTATTATTAAGTTTTAAGAACCAAGACAATAAACGGAAGGAGAGTGCTAAACAAGAATTTTGGAGGGCTATCACTCCGATTTCAATTCTACTAAACTAATTATACATCAAAGATGATAATCACCTGCCTATTGATTACTTGTTTATATATACACGTGTTTACATGTAACAATCTTTTATTGATTTTACATACGTTAATCACTTGAGAGATTTTATTACTTATTTAAAAATTACAAAAAAAAAGTAATTTAGTATTTTCTTTGACAATAGTAATAACTGTGATAAGTGTTGTCTATTAAGAAAAAATTACTATACCATGGATATTGAGAAAATTTGTTTGCTTCGGCGACAACATTATCAACAAAACGCACAAATGATTATTTTAAGATAAATCAAATAAAACAAGTGTATTTATTTTCTTCTTCTAAAAGTGTTCTTTAAAAAAAATCGTCAAACAAGAGCTTGTATATTTATTATTAAATTTGTTTCTGATATCATTGTTTTCTTAAGCCAAGGAGTTATTATAAGTTAGTGCTCAAAAAGGCAATCGTAAACTTTATTTGACAATTACTGCAATAATTTGATTGATTTCTGTATCATCAATTCTTTTTCTTGGATCGGTGTTTTTATTCTAGAATTACCCATGTCCAATTAACATCACATTAAGCTTTTTAATCAATTAACAAAGGACTATATAATGGTCTGTAAGATTATCAATTAAATGTGTTTAATAAACATGTATATAAATGCAAATGTGTTGTTTCTAGGGTTGTATTTCTTATTTTCCCAAGAAAAGAAAACGAAGATAAAACCAAGTTCGAGGAAAGCTAACTCCCACTTACTAAAGGAGCTTGTTTCCAAAGAAGGAAGTCGTCATCGTGCAAAGATCACATATTTCTGATTTGGCTAAATTCCTTTCACGATAACACGTTGGCAACAATCACAGCTCAAGATGCTCATAATATCTGCCATAATTGCAGCATCAACATGATGCCTCACATCAGTTTGTCTTGTCAAGGAAATAGCCACTTAGCATTAGTTGAATATGTTTCTAATAACCATAATTTTTACTTACAATTTTGTTTTATACTTTACCTATCCTTCACCCCAGACATTAGACAATTTTATTTAAGTAAACTAAAATTATTATTAACAATAATAAATTTAAATATTTAATCTGATTATATTTTTTTAAAATTTAAATTTGTGGTCATATTAAATGAAAACAACTTTACACCAATTAGTTTATATGTATTATTTTCTACCAGCAATTTTTAATAAACTGTTTGTTGAATTTAAAATTGAATAACATTAATTTTGAGTTGTTTAATATAATTAAAATACGGATAACTTAATCTAAACTGTCTATTTTATTCAAATGTATATCTTTCATTAAAAAATACAAAAATAAGTTTACAACTTTAAAATAAACAATCTGAGAGTTTTTTCATTTTAGAAGGAACCATCATGAAATAAATGCCACTGTGCAGATCTTAGGCTACATGGATGCCACTCAGCATGCAAATCATGTATTTGTAGATACTCGAATCCTCCTATATGTAGTTGCCATGACATCACTGACTTTTGTTATAAACCTTGTAAGTCCAGTGATGATGATTAGGAATTAATGACCAAGTTTTAAATAAGTCTCAAATGGACAAATTAAGCCCCCTCTAGTCTTGGTTTGTGTTATGTAATTGAACTTTAAAAAAAGCTTTTGTACCTTATAATTTGTCTTCACCAAATTAGGATCAGTTGAAGTCTAATGAAATTTTATGTTTGGAAGAAAGTAATGTAAATGTTTTGATGAAATGTTGCTTTTGACTTCGATTTTTTCATGTATGAATGTTAATTATTAAATCTCAGTTCAATTCTCAAATTGATGCACATGCTACATTTAATAGTTTCGATAAAACATGAATAATTCAGAAGTGTATAAATAGAAGGATTCATACACTCCTTATTTTAAGGTTTTGAGTTACATTGTAATTTCCAACGTGTTGAAACTCTCCTTCCTTACTTCTCTCCCTATATACAGATGGGACAGTCCAGGTGACCTCAATAAAAGTATAATAAGTATTGAACATTATATATAAAATCTAATAAAAAATTGCGTTCAATACTTAATAAAAATACAAAATAAAATATAAAAAATTTAATAATAAAATGTAAGATTTAAATTAAGTATTTGAAAAATTAAAAAAAATAAATGTGAATAATGAAAATTTAAAAGATTAAAATTGCACATATATTACAACATAAAAACCTGTTTCCACGAATTTTGGTCACAATTATTATATTATTTGCAATCAATGTTAGCGATAAAACAAAATCGATTAGTAAAAAAGAATTGTAATAGTGAATTAAATTTAATTTTTTTAACACGAAGAAGAATAAATTAGACCCGATTGTAATAGGCATTAATTTTATAAGAAGAATGCATTATTACTTCCCTGGATAGGTTTAGATAACTTTAATATGCTATATGCATGGCATGGTTACTAATATAGACAGAGCCTAGCAAACGTGGAAGCAAACTCAGCCATCATATCTTGCATGTGTGCCACCTTTCAAATGCAATGAGATAAGAACGAAGACAAGAATCACTGCTCCAACACCCAGTTAAACTACGTGGATTTTAAGAAAAATGTCTCGTGTGTATATATATATAGCACGGACGAAAACTTTCTTTTTAATTTGAAACAGTACGTGTCAGCATAGAAAATTATCATTTGTTTTATACAAAAAACTTATTGCGATGTTTTTCTAAAAAAAGAATAATCAATCTCGTTTCTGTATGAAATATATACATTATATAAGATAAAAACTATATATTCAAATAGTCTCATGTGCGATGTGGATGAAATACTTTTTTTATTTTCTGTTTAAAACTGTTATAAATTTTCTGAATACACAATACGCCTCAGCACAAACAAATGTTTCATCAACATATACGATATTTAATGTAATTTTTTAAATATTTTTAAAAAGGTAGGAGGAAGAGTATATTAAATGAACTGTGTCGTTGGTAATTGTGTATAAATAAGTAACTCATTTCACCACAATACATGCAAGCCGCTCCTACTTCTCAGATAAAGAAAACTGGGTTTGAAGAAGAACAACATGATGATGCTGAAGGTGAGTTTCTTGCTACTTATCCTTGTAGGGATTACCAATGCTGGCATGGAGTTGGGCATGCTCAAAAGTGAACGTCATCATCACTCAAGTGAGGATGAGCCTTCGGAGTCTTCAAAACCATGCTGTGATCTCTGTGCATGCACAAAGTCAATCCCTCCACAATGTCGCTGTGCAGATGTTAGGTTGGGTTCATGCCACTCAGCTTGCAAAACATGTATTTGTGCATTATCTTATCCTCCTCAGTGTCGTTGTGTTGACACCACCGACTTTTGCTATGAACCTTGCAAGTCCAGTGATGATGACTAGGTATAATCAACATGTTTTAAATAACCTCAACTCACAAAGCCCCTTTAGGCTTTGTTTGTGTTATGTGAAGAAAGATTAAATAAAACTATGAATAAAAGCTCTTACATATGGCCTGTATTTTGCTCTTTCCTAACTTGTCATTTTTATTATTCTCATTCAAGTTATGTGTATCTAAGATACTAACATGTTTGTGTTCCTCTTAACACGCCTAAAGATCGAAACTCAAAATTCGAGAAATATGTATAACTCACGGGGGAAAAAAATCCAAACTCTAACTGGAGATATGTATTAATTGCTTGAACTAATTACAATTCATACTTTTATCTTTATTTTAAACTTTAGTAAAATTCATTTAAAAGTTAACATTAAACTATTAAATATAATTAAAATAAAAAAATAAATGTGTGTTATAAATTTATATTAAATCAAATGTTTTTATTAGAAGTATAACTTTTGATTTTCTGATATCAAAACAGCCTGGAGCCAACTTAGCCAATGCAAGTCAGATTCGAAGATATAAGAATATTCGAGACAGATTTCATTCGACCAACTCAACTTTATTCGAAATCAATTTTTGATTGATTTAAAATATAAAAAATTAAATTTCACCAATTCTATAAATTAATTGTATTTTATTGAAAATTTTAAATTTGATTTTGATATGCTTTTAAAACGAGTTAAAACTATACTTACTCGTTTTTACTGCACACGTTATTGTGTTATATACTTAAAATTTATATTGTATAATGACATCATAGTATATTTATGTTAATATGCATTATTTATTTTAAATTTATATATTAAAATATATTTTAATTTTATAATTTGATTATTCATAATGTGAAAATTATTAATCTTAATATCAAATTTCGTCAAAATAGAATAAAATCTAAAAAAAATATTTTCAAACCATAACCTTACGTCTTATAAATATTTAAAAAAATTTCAAATTCTAGCAAAGCCTTTTACTTTTAAACTTCTAAAAATTATTTTATTTTTCATTTTTATCAGACACCTTCCAAAAGTTTAGATAAAAAAATTGCAGGTTTAATGTAGAAAAAAAATTAACGAAAGACTAAATCTGCATAATTTTAAAAGAAAAACTTAAAAAACTAAAATTATACATAAACATAATATTTATCTCCACTATAATTTTCAACGGTTTATTTAGAAATTAGAATAGTTACTGGCTATGCTACTCGTGCTCACATATGGGTCTGAGCAGAATTTATTTTATTTAATTCATATACATTCAAAAAATTTTAAAATATCTGACATTATGTTGGTTATAAAGCCATTCTCCTCTCGTAAACATAATAATTATACTTTTGTTCTCAAAATATATATTGATCTTTATGTGTCATGTATTTTAAATTTAGTTTTTATGTATAAAATATTTTTTTAATCATAATTATTTTATTAGAATAGTCCATGATATTTTTGACAAAAAATAATGATTAAATTAAAATAGTTATATATAAATATAAAATTAAAATTATATAACATATATAAAGATGAAATTAAGATTTCGTTAATTATGACAACTATCGTTAGCGACGATAACTCGGATAATGAGAGGTAGGAATAGAAATGAGTTAGGTCGAGATAGATTTAAGATTAAATGAATCTGACTTATTATACAAAATTAAATTCTGAAGCTAAAGCTATAATCTGATATAGGCTAATTTTATAAGCTTGATTTGACTTTTTTAGAAGTCTAACCTAACCCAATAGCCTATTTAACACTAAGGCCTTCAAATAACACTATATTTAAATTTAACAGACCAGTGGGCCAATGAGCTAGTAGTCAAAGGGCTAGTGATAGCCACGTCGCAATAGTATCAAACAAACTAGATTTTCTTAAAAAATTTGCAATAGGAGTAAACCTAGGTCATCTCACAAGGACATAAGATACATTCTGTTTTTAGTTCCATCATGTAATTTCAGATTAGTTTAGGGATGGATTGTTTTGAATTAAATTGTAAACAACAGAAAAGAAAAGAACAAAGAATAATTCTAACGAAACGAAATATAAAGTTCAACCAAATCAAGATTTCAATCACTACAACGCAATTCTCATTGTTACACGAATACAATTCCAACGAATTTTCAATCAACACTAATTCAATACGACATTAATAATCCAAAATCTAAATCTAAATTATGAATTCCATCAAAACAAGAACTGCAATCGCAAACCCAGTACTCTAACGAAATTCAAAAAAATTGATTTATTGAATTATGTGAATTCATTTATTTCAAATCTAAAATTCTCATTCTCTGTTTAGAATGCAAACAAAAATTCAATATCATGAAAAATACGTAATTATCCTAATCAGAAAAGAGGAGGAAGAGCGATAATTCGATAGAACCTAACCCAAAACTCAAATGCGATATAGTTTTTGAAACCTTGAACCGATTGATAGATTAGCCTTACTTCATGATCATGCTTGCTTCGGCCAAAACCAGAAAATACGAAAAGATAAAAGGTAGAGAGATGAAAATAAAGGAAAGAATTTAAAATAAAGACTTTTTGAATTTTGAAAAATAATGAGCGGGAAAAGAAAAACAAGGATTCGTACATGAAGTCATAACCTCTATTTAAAGACAAAATAATTGGGCTTAATTAAGGCCAAATTCCCTAATCAGGTTCCTAAACACCTAACTAAGTAAAAGACAAAATAATTAGGCTTAATTAAGGCCCAACTCCCTAATCAGGTTCCTAAACACCTAACTTAGTAAAATCAACAATACAATCAAATTCTGAAAATTTCAGTGCAGGGCCGCAACATTGTGACGCAATTTTGGACCTAAAGATGCTCGAACTGGGCTTTTCTCCCAACAGAGAAGTTGTAGATCTCTGTCTTATCTTTCCAGGGACATTAATTTTGTCCAATTCTGAGTAGTGTAGCTCGAGATATGGTCTTTGCAAGAAACTGTGTCAAAATAAGAAATTATGGCGGGAATTAAGAAAGATTTATATTTAAGTCCTAAATTACTTACTAACACAAATCTAAACTAACACATCAAAATAATGCACTAATGAAGCTCAATTAAACCAAAAATATGGAGAGAAAGATGTACTAAAATTTGACTATCAACTAGCAAGCCCTATTATTAGTAAAATAGAAAATATACGATAAATAATTATATTTAAGCTTGGATGCATGGAATACTGGATGGATCTTGGACTCCTTAGGTAAGTCCAATCTAAATGCGAGATCACCAATGCACTAAGTGATGGTGAAAGGCCCATAAAACCGTTTGGCCAATTTTTGTACCCTTTGATCAGTCACAGAGACTTGACGATGTCAAATTACTGCTATTATGCATCTATTTAATTATTAACCCTATTGATTAGGGTGGTGTAAACTTGAATTATGTTTAGATGTGAAATATAAAGGTTGTATAATTTCTATGTGATGAGCTAAATTTATTTTGAAATTCTATGCTGTGATGCTGTTGAGTGTGAGCTATAGAATGATTGTAAATATGCTGAGAGTTTGGATAGTTCTGAAAGTATGGTTAAGAGTTGAAGATATTATATCCAAGAAAGAGAAATTGGAGTTTGGGTGCAAAGAATCTTGCTCAGGCGAGATTTGTCTCGCTCAAGCGAAATCAGATAAGGATGCCTCAATTGTAACCTTTCCCAGGCGAGGATGGATCTCACCCAGGTGAGAGCTGACCTCGCTCAAGCGAAAGGAACTCGCTCAAATGAGGAGTCGCAGGAAGATTGGAGAGCTTTCTAGACCCAATCTCGCTCAGGCAAGATTGTTGCTCGCCCAAGCGAGATGCAGCTCGTTCAAGCGATGAGATGCTCGCTCAAGCGAGAATATTAGAAATTTGAGGAGTTTTGCTGTCTGGTTTTCTCGCCTAGGTGAGGGTTGGCTCACCCAGGCGACGGCAGAGCTTGCTCAAGATTGCGCGCGCTGGAGGGGTATTTAAGGGACCCCAGCGTCCAGAAACGTCATTTTTCTCACCAAACAGCTTTCCTCTCTCGTTTCTCTCTGTTCTTTCTGCTATTATCCCTAGACAAAGCCTTCTCAAAGCTGAGATCCTTCCCGATCAAAGTGAGATCTACTATCTCATCGAGGTTTAGGTGAGTTCTCGGAGCTCAGTTATCACTTTTGCCTTATTTTCTCTTTCACTTCCTCGAGAGACTTAGATCTAGCTGTTTTGAGTAGATCTAAGCTGATCAAGTTGTGGTTCAACGGTCGATCTCTCTACGGGAACTACAAGGAACACTATTTTAGAACTCACCCTAGGTAAGGGGAGCTTACCTATCTTAATCTAGTTTATGTTGTGGGAACTGAGAATAACGGGCTGTAGAAGTAACTTTGATGATTATCTATAGAACTGTGCTATGATAAGCTTGAATGCAATGAGTTATGAGTCGTGGGTGTGTGTTGAGGCATCTAGTTGATGTGAGAGCTATTTAGTTTTGTTGAGATAATATGTGTTGAAAGACTTGATGTTGCTGTTAGAGTTTCTATGTAGCTGAGTGGTTGAGGTTGAGTGAGATATTATGTTTCGCTGAAATTACTGAAAATGAATATATGAGAAATTGTTGTGCTGTTAATGCTGTATAAAAATGCATTTATTGTTGTACTCTACTGATTTAGCTGTATTGTTTATGCTGATTATGAACAATTGCTGAGCTATAATATGCTGATTGTGCCGTGTTGCATCCTATTCATTATCATTATCATTTAGAGCTGATTACGATGTTGAACTGTGCTGTGTCTGGATCCATATACCGGGATGGGTCGCTCCCAAACCGGAAAACAGTTCCTCTGGATTACTTAGACTATGAAACCAAATGGAAGCTGTATTGCTGCATTTGCATTAGTTAGGCTGGGAATGGGCTAGACATGCTGTAATATGCTATGTGTTGATTTTATAAGCTGTTTAGATGATTTTATTCATGATTCGTTCATATTTTATTAATAAGGTTGTCTATTTCATAAGTTTACCCTTGCGCTTTATTGTGTTGGTACGTT